CGGTCATCGGCTCCGACAAACAACTGAATTTGACAACATTTGTTGAATGCCAGTACATTTTCCGATGTTTATTTAAATGCCAAGACTTTTCCCGACGGCGGAATAGACGATGCTTAGCACAACCGTCGCTCATTTAGAATTTCTCGGCGTTTACTGTGCTCTTTGCCGACGTTTATAAATGTGGCTTTAGCCAAAATTCTTGTATTGCCATTCTCAGAAAGCATTGATGGCCAACCTAGCGCAAGCATTGGACCCACCCTCATTTTTTTTCTCCTTGACATTATTTGACAAAAATTCCTTAAGAATTTCTTGTTTTACCCACTCTATTTTTATTATTATATCAATTATTACAGACTCAAATACGACTATTTATATTTGGATATGTTTTGAACACATCTAAATAAGATTTGGGCACATCAAGTTATTTTACAATTTTTGAAAAATAGGAGATCGTGTTGTTATTGCCAAAATATTAAGGTCATTATGTGATAAAAAAAAATAGGGATAATTGTTTTTTACCTCCTTGTGGGTTTGGATAGAAACATCTTACCTATTTGATGTTTAAAATTATGCACATTATCCTCTTATAGTTATGTACCAAAATAAAATAATTGACACCGTTAACAGAATAATAAAATTACCATAATACCCATATTATATTTGTTTGATTTACTCTTAACAATGTTAGTCAAACATATGACCAAAAAATAAAAATAAAAAATTAGTCAAACAGACTGAGAGAGATCAAAAATGAGAGAAAAAAGGAAAGACAAAGGCAAGAAGATCGCAAATCTGAGACCACTGTTATAGATCACCCTTCTCCGAATAAAGATTCCATTGATTCTTCTTGTTTCCCTTGTACGCAAGAGCGGATTAGTAGATACTTCGAAAAACTTGTTTGTTATTGGTTGCTAAAGGTAAACAAAAGTTCTAGCTTACATATTGAGTGCCTTTGAATTATTCTGCTTGTTAAATTTTTTTTTTTTTTTTTACAAATACAAGTCATGAAAAACATGAATCACAAAATTTTTCTAGTGTATCACAAATCTCCATTGTGGATCTAAGATATTGAATGGCTTAAAATACATGGGTATTGCAAAAAATTAACCCTTTTTAATATGCCTCATTTTCAAATCAAAGTTTGTTTTGTTCTAAGGCAAGACTTTTCTGATGTTTTGTAGTTACATGTGGGTCCTTGTGTTTTTTTTAGTTGGTAAATTGTTCTTATTTGTTTATTGTTCCCCAGTTGGCATGCTTTTCTTTCTTTTCTTTTTTTTTTGAGTTGTATATTAACGTTGAATTGTTTATTCGGTTTATGTTTGTCAATCATGCAGAATGGACAATAGTTTTTCTATTGTGTTAAATCATGGTGGATACTTTGAATGTCAGCCAAGTATTGTTTACAAGAAGGGTAAAGTGAACATAGTATACGAGTGTGATCCAAAAAAGATATCATTGTTTGAATTAAGAGGAATGTATGGGGATTTGACTTCAGAAAAACAAGGAAGAATGCACCTCACCCAAAATCAAAGAGGTTTAAGGTAAACCTGCATTTTTACAACATTTGTCTTTTCTATTTAAATAATATAATGTCCCATTAACATCTCTGGTGAACATCTTATAGCCAACACAAGCAAGTCCATCTAATGCACATGCTACAAATGTTGGAGATCTATCTGCAACTACTGTGGCAGGAGCTAGGAGTGATACAACTCAAAAAGGAAGAGAAATAGATGCAATTGCTGGGGCTGGGGTTGGAAGAGGAACAACTGTTGGGAATTGAGCAGGAGCTAGAAGAGGTGCAATTGCTAGGGCTGAAGTTGGAAGATCAACAACTACTGGGAATGGAGCCAGAGTTGGAAAAGGTACACATACTGGGAATGGAGTTGGAAGAGTAGCAACTGCTGGGAATAGAGCTGGAAGAGACGCAACATCAACTATTTCAAGTATATTGGAGGAAATATGGCAGAGAAAAAGGCAGCCCACAATGACTATAAATGTGATTTTTTTCTTTTTTTGTTTATGTTTGATCATGGCAAACTTATAACTATTCCAGATACCCAACTGGGTTTTAGTGGTTAATTACTATTGTTATGTGGTAATGAATCAAAATTGTTTTTTTGATTGTGAATCAAATTTTCTTTTGACATTAATGGATTTGGATTATTGTCTATGAATTTTTTATTGTTGAATCAAATATGCTTTCTTATTGTTAGTGTTGAAAAAATGGTAATGAAAAATAAATTAAACTAGGACTCGCACATCAAAATTAGTGGTGTGACACCTCTAAAACTGGGGGTCCTTTATTAACCATTAATCACCTATCAACCCGCGGAAAAACCCGTGATTGTCACACGACCCGACATCACGTCAACCCCCTTAACCGAAATCATAATTCACATGTGTAACCTTCATACACTTTATCATTTACTAATCCGTGGTCCTTTATACATCAATTTAGAGTCATTAATATCCCATATAACCTCATTGATTACAAGGGATCGATGCCCGCAGACTTAGTAAAACATTTAAAATTTTTGAAGCTTAAAGAAAACCTACCGGTACAAGTGTTAAAAGTTCTACCAGTAGAAGTTGTGCACTAGACCTTAGTTTTTAGAAAATCTGTGAAAACCTACAGGTAGAATAAGTCCCTTATCTATCGGTAGAAATAGTCTATTAGAATTCTTCTATTGGTAGGAACAATGACGTTCTATTGGTAGGAGAAACCTACTGGAAAAGTTCTACTGGCTAAACCTACCGGTAGAACCTGCCTACTGGACCACATCTACTGATAAAAGAACCTAAATTTCTTTTGGTAGGTATGCCCTTTTTTGCCCATTTCATTCATTTTTTATTTCCAATCCATTCCAACTCATCCAATATCAATCCGAACACATACATCATGAAGTTTTACATTCAACATAGTCCATATGAGTTCGATTACAATCAATTGCATATGATTACATGCCCAAAACCAAATTACATAAAAGTTTCACAAAATATAGTTTAAAAGCCACAAGTCTACTTTTCTTCATCAATGACGGCCCGAGTGAGAGCGCTCCACCAGCGCATATCCCGCACCTAAAATGTTGTCCCCATAAATGGTGAGCCACGCTCAATAGGGTATCTCTTAAAAAAACTACTCCCCAACCTAGATACATATAAAATGTTCACATGCAAATTCAACAAGTAACAATCATCCATTCAAGAATATGTAATTCAATGATGTGTCATTTATGCTATGTCATCTTATGAGATGAGACTCACACATATAACTCAACCTGAGTCTTCACCGATTCTCATCACCTATGCAATGTCATGAGTATAAAATCGGGCATTCCAAGCCCTTGTCATTGATGTTGCACATCAAACGGCCTTTTTTAAAAAAAATAACTATGTGTCTTTGTTGGATAGTAGGATTTTGGTGTCTCACCACCGATTTTGCACACCGATACACTTTTTTTGACTTTCACCGGTGGAATTGAATAAACCAGTGACCGGGTCTTGCATCTAAGGGAGTATCTAGGCCTTCTTGCTATACTCAACACAAGTTTTTCACGTAACCGTGCGACTCTGTCAAACCTTGGTCCGACTGTACTGAGTCCACTTATCATCCACCGAGAATGGTGTTTGATCCAACAACATTCACACACCCACACTCATGTTAATGCTCACAAATGAGATGTTTCTCGTGCATATGCAAATATATATGTACATTTTCAATTCTCAACATATTCAATATGTCATAATTACAATATGAACAATTTCAATTTCCTATCAACATACTACATGGTCAATTACATCATTAGCATACAATCACCATCAATAGCTTCAATGTCAATATAGCACATGCATATACCAACATTTTCCAACATCAATTTTCAAGAATGTTAGAACATAGTCAATGTAATTAACACAATTAATCCACATAAGCATTTAATCAAACGCCTTCAAGGTACCAAATCATGTAATCACATAAAATTCCCAATTTCATCACATAACTCAAGAAATCACCTCAAGTAATTTCTACATACCCAATTCAAGCTAGAATTAATTTTACCCATTTCTATATCCATTTTCTACATTTCAACAACAATAGGTAAGTCTAAATATGAGATTATATCTCTAACACCCTACCCATTTCATATTTCAAACCTAAGTTGGAAATAAACCGAATTAGGATGAAAATCCTATCCCTTGAAGCATAAAACAAAGGTAGAAAGCCTTCAAGAATGCCAATGAAGCCTTAGCCTTTGATTTCCCCAAAATCTCCTTTTTGAATCTTCGGTGAAATCCATCTTTTTTGATATGATTTTTTAACCCTCGACGAGTAGAACAACTTTTATTTTTGGCTTGAGTAGATTTGAGCAACGTAGCGGCGTAGATCGTAGAGAGAAGGTAGAGATTCCCTCTCTTCTTTCTTATTTTTTAGATAATTTGATGGGTATGGGGAGAAATCCGATTTTTCTCCCCTATTTAAACCCTTTAAATGTTTGGTACTCATCGCGCCACACGTCCCCCATTCTCAGGTCTGATTTCATCCTGAAACGATTAAATTTCGTCCCAGTTCAAGTTCAAAATACTTTTATATAAAATTCCTTTAAATTATTTTTTAACTTTCAAAATTTTATTCCATATTTTGTTTTTAGGTTACGCGACACTCGATCGCCTCGTAAAATGTAAAAAAAATTGATTATTTCAGAATTCGACAAAAATTGAATGGATAACTAGATTTCGCGAGACAAATCCAATGGTGAGGTCCGTTTTATCATCTAAATTCTAGAAAAATTTAGGATTTCAACGCGTACCATAGTGACAAATTACCGTTTTGTCATTTTTTCATAAAAATTCAAATTTACCTGGGTTATATAAGTGGGACCATAATTTAATTATTTGTTCATAACCATTCATATTTGAATGAGAAATTATGTCTCAAAACTATTAATTTGTATTGGTATAATAGATTGAATATTTGTATTTGGAGTTAGGTCAAAAATGGTTCAGATCGGAGCAATGGACAAAGCAAGTAGCAGAGCCGACAAGTGATGCCCAAGGCTTTTGGCGACTTTCCTTGGTGCCTTGCCTCTTGGCGCCTTGGCAAATGGGGCCCAAGGCCTTGGCAACTTGGCTTGGGGAGCCCATCCCGTTGTTGTCTCTCCTTGTAGTCTGCTGTCTTCACCTTCCAGTGCTTGACCTAACCATCTTTTAAATTAATTTTTAAAATACGCGTCATGTAATTGTCGTTGTCCAGAGCATGCCTCTAAGCAAGTGTGATGAATAGTGGCATCCCTTACCTGTTCAATTTAATTGAACAGGCGTTTGAAGTTTATAAAAAGGCGACCCCTACTGCCATTTAGAATACACCAAAATTCAGGAACAATTCTTCTATTTTTCATACTACTTTCTCTCTACATACATATTGTTGCATCGTTCTTTTTCTTCGTCGATTCAAGTACAAGGCACAAAGTTGTGTTCGCTGGAGTCTTGGATATTGAAGTGTTGCTTCTTCAAGAACATAAATCCTTCTATCTTGGGAGACAATTGCTCATCAACCTTGAGCACCGAGAGGGAGGAAATTTGTCTTAAGGAGAATATGGATACATGGCTCAGATTTATTCTGGTTTTCTAGTTCTGATTGTTGTTTCTGTTCCTTCTCCATGTGAGTGTATTATTTTGTTTTAAATAGTAGGCCTTTTGTTTTAGAGTTGCAACAGTTATTAAGATTCCTAAATCTAATTGTATACACATAATTTTGGATAACAATCTTAAGACAAATTTGTTATATAATTAGATTATGTACTGTCACGATTTAAGACAGCTATGTTAAAGACAATTTTTTCATTTGGTTCTTATTTTCAATATGTTGTTTTAATTTTAAAAAAATAAAATTTTTTATTCTATTATTTTTAGTAGCACCCTCTAGGAGACACCCTTTCTCCAAAGTAGGCACCCCTCTAGGAGACATCCTCTCCCCAAAAGTAGGTGCCCCTCTAGAGGCACACTCTCCCAAAGCAAGCACCTTGCAGGAGCACCTGTTGGCATCCTCCTTCTTGATAGGCACTCTTTGGCCCCCTATCTCCAAATTGAAAAGAGAATTTTGTATTGTGTTAGTTTACTATTTTAAAGTGTTTGAACAAGATTCTGTGTGTTTAATTTGAATTAGTAGTGCTTTACATAATTAAAATAAGACTTGTATTGCTTCTGTTTGTGTAGCAAAAATGATTATATTCCTCATGTTGTTGTTTGTACAATAGTTGTTCCTACTATTGTGAGTGTCTTTTATGGGGAGAAGCATGAGAAGTTCAATGGCTCGGACTTTAAGCGTCGGCAATCTAAGATGCTTTTCGATCTCACCACCTTAAACATTGCAAAGTTTCTTTATGAAGATGTTCCTTCATTTGATGAGAATGTGGAAAGGTGGCTATTGTGGATGCTTGGAAGCATTTGGGTTTCTAATGTAGAAATTACATCGTCAATGGATTAATTAATGTATTATACAATGTGTATAGTGCTGTTAAACTGCAAAAAAAACTTTGGTAATCCTTGTACAAAAAATACAAGACCGAGGATGCCTGCACAAACAAATTCATTGTTGGTAAATTCTTGAATTTTAAAATGGTGGATTCCAAGATTGTCATATCCCAAATTTAAGGGCAAAACTCGAGCAAATTTGAAATTTTTATGAACAAAATTATAATTTGTCACTACAGTACGGGTTGTAGACCTGAAATTTTTTAGAACTCAGATGAAGAAACGGACCTCACCGTTGAATTCATCTCACAAAATCTAGTTGTTATGTCAAATTTCATCGAATTCTGAGACATTCATATTTTTCACGTCTTACAAGACAATCGAGTCTCAGGCGACCCAAAAATGGGATTTTGATAAAAAAAAATTTGAAATTTAGAAAATAATTTAAAGCAAATTAAAATAAAAATATTTTGAACTTAAACCGAGACAAAATCTAATCGTTTTGGGACGAAACGAATCTGAAAAATAAAGGGTCGTGTGGCGCGTTGTATGCCATGTATTTAAAGGGTAAAAATAGGGGAAACATTTGATTTCTCCCCAATTTCTTCAGCCGATTATACGTGAGAGAGGAAGAGAGGGAAAGAACTTGGATTCATCACATTCTCTCTACAATCTACGGAGATTGAGTGCTCCAATCCACTTGAGCCAAGAACAAAAGTTGTTCTCCTCGCCGAGAGCTATAAAACTATACCAAGGAGGTCGAGTTTTACGGAAGGTCAAAGAACAAGATTTTGGACAAGTGAGAATTTGAGCTAAAAACGGATTCTTGGAACCTCTTACGGGTGTTCTCCAAGCTTCAAGGGGTAGGGTTCCCTCCTACTTAGGTGTATTCCAAACTTAGGATGTTTATATGAAATGGGTAGATTGATAGATTTAAATATCATTTGCCTATTGTTGGTGGTTTGGTGAAATGGGTAGGGCAAACTCTATATTGAACTTGAGTATATGTTAATTGCATAATGAAATTTCTTTGAGAAGTGTGATGTGTGGGCATGCTATGTGTTTACATTATGTCCTAATGAATTCAAAGTGTTGATAGCATGATTGTGTGATAACATGCTTGGAAGTGGTGTTGTGAAAATAGTTGATGTATATACACATGCTTATGATATATTGGAATTGATGGACTATGGAAATTATATGTTTAGAATGAAATTATCCATAAATATGTATTGAGATTGCTCATATGTCATCTGTAGGATATTGAGCATCGTATTGTTGTTGAAATGAGGCATCACAATGCATATGCATGATGACATCGTACTATATGGGCGTGTGTGTGCAAGGTTGTTTGTCAACACCACACTCGGTGGATGACTGGTGGGCTCGAGTAAGTTTGGTCAAAGACCTGGCTGAGTCTCACAGATTACATGGTGATTAGGGTTGGGGTTAGCAAGAAGGGCTAGAAGATCCCTCAGGTGCAAGGCCCGGTGATAGGATATGTACTCCCTTGGTTCAGTCCATGAAATGTGTGGGTGTACGCGAAACCCTCGGTGGAAGTCCGTGAATTCCGTGTGGGTTGGGTGACCCTTAGTGGGAGTCCATAAACACCCACCCCTACAAAGACCCTAGATTAGTGAATGTCATTTGATGTGCAACATAAATGACAAATTCGGGCATATTAGCACTTGCATGTGTTGAGGAGTCGGGAAGGGCTCGAGTTGATGTTCATGAGTGAGTCTCATCTCATTCCATGACATGAAATCTTAAATTCCACATTAGAGGCATATTCTTGCTTGAAATGTTATGAAATTGTGGATTGTTAGCATGCGAACATTTCATATACATTTAGGTTGAGGAGTAGCCTATCTAGAAGATACTCTATTGAGTGTAGCTCACCCTTCGTGGGAAAACATTTCAAGTACGGGGTTCATACCGGTGGACGGCCCCCATTTCGAGCCTCAAGGATGAAGAAAGTGGATTTGTGGCTTTTATAGTTCATTTTGTAAAGGTTTTGTGAAAATTCCATTTTGATGTGTAAATATGTGGAATTATATGTAATAGAACTAGCATGGATCATGTTTTATGTGAAAAACCTTACTAAACATGTGTTGGATAGTTGTGGGAATGAATTGGAATTGAAAAAGGAAGGAATTGTAGAAAAATAGGCAAAACCTTCTGGAAGGTCGATCGGACCTTCCGGAAGAACTTTTCTAATAGGCAAAAACCTTCCGGTAGGTTAATGTAAATTCCTATCCAGAAGGCAAAACCTTCCGGAAGGTTTACAACAACTTTCCGGTAGGTTTATGTAAATTTTTTTCCAAGAAGGTAAAACCCTTCCGAAAGGTCAATGAAAAACCTTCTGGAAGAAATTTTGCAGTGGGCAAAACCTTCCAGAAGGTTGTCCAAAAATCTAAAATTATTAAGAATGTTTTGCCATTCTTTTGGGCTATGTGTCCTTTTATTTAAATGATGTAAATGGACCATAATGAAGAATAAATTGAGGTATTTTGGACCTTGGTTAGGGTCAAGTGATAAAATGTACACGGGTTGCACGTGTGGGTTGTGATCCCGACTAAGGGGAGACTATTGATGGGATGTCGATTATGCAATAATCAAGGGTAGTCCTACGGGTTGATGAATTATCAACGTTGATAAAGGACCCTGATTTTAGGGGCATCACAATTTGGTATCAAAGCGTAGGTATACAATTTACCTAGGACTTGATGGGCATGGGTCTAGACCATTGCATTCATTATGCATTACATGTTATATGCTTAAATTGCTACATGTTCTGTGATATGTGTTATGCAAATTATATACATGGTAAAATCTATATGGAAATGAACACACTAGGTAGAGAACATAACCTTGGGAGTGGGAAAGTGAATGAACGGGATAGTTCAAGGTGTAGATGTCTACTAACGACGACACACACTATACTAGTGAGATGATGAAGGGATTTTCAATGTTTTAACCTTGATCCCTGTTCTGGGATACTAAGTTAGTATGCTATTGTTATCTGGTATAAGTGTAGATGGCAAGTAAGGGAAGAGGACGTCAAGGCGGTGGGCAGAACAATAATCAACCACCACCGGCTTTCAACCAACAAGAATTTAACGAGACTATGGGCATGATGGCGGCTACTATCACACAAGCTAGCGCTAATGCAAATCAAGGAGGCTCAAGCAACCTCCAACAATTTAAGGCACACAAGCCTCCAATTTTTAAGGGTGGGGCGGATCCGATGGTGGCCGCCCATTGGTTCCGTCAAGTCAACAAAGTCTTAGGGGCAATGGAAACCACCTCAGATGCCACTAAGATAAAACTAGTTGCATTCCAGCTAGAAGGAAAAATCCAATTGTAGTGGGATTGGGTGAGCGCCACCAAGAACTTAGAGACTATGACATGGGGAAAGTTCTGGGAGCTCTTTATGGGCAAGTACTTCCCAACAGTCGTTCCACATGCAAAGGCCCGGGAATTCTTAGACTTGAGACAAGGAACAATGACGATGATGGAGTATGTGGCTAAGTTCACAGAGTTAGCCCATTTCGTCGACGATTACGTGGCCACGGATATGGCCAAGGTGAAGAAGTTTGATGATGGTCTGAAATTATCCATCCAAGGAAAGATTGTGGGCCTTCGCCTACAAAATTTGAATTCAATGGTCGAGACAGCGATGACCATTGAACGAGAGGTGGATGATGCTAGGAACATTCGGGAGGCTGGTGCAAAGAATAGAAAGAATGAGGGTCAATCCTC